CAAACCTGAGATAGGAAAAGTCAGTTGAGGTGTGCCGAAACCGACATATGCTGTAGGCCGGTAAATAAAGTGGGCAAAAAGGAATACATATCATGCTCAAAATACATTTATTGAGTAAAGAACATAATACCATATAATTACATTATGAGGACATTTCCACGTATGCTCTTCGTGTTGCCTGTACTGGTTGGGGTATGTATGTTGTATATGCTGATGACTTCCAGTGACCTGGAGTGTAACGATATGGACTGGAACGTGCAGTCTTATTGCCGCAGATGCGGCCCTTGTCCAACACTAATGTCATGAATAAGTCTAGGGTTAAATGATAACCGTACGTGTAACATGCCTTGGAGGAAGTGACAGTAGCAGAAGAGTTGCAATATGCGGTAAGATGAGGAGGTAGGAATCGAAAACCTTCTCCTGCACCATAGATTATTCATGGGATAGTATGTAATGTGGACGGGTTGACCCAGTTGCCTCATTTTGGTAGCGGGTAGTCCGTATGCAACGATTGTGATGTTTAATTAGATAGGAGCTTTGAAAGCAACATGGTGCACGGTGTTGGCCACTGACTGAATTCCAGTGGCCTCAGGAAGCTGTAAAAGGTCAGATAATAGCGGTGTCAGAGTTAGGGAGGGATTTGAAAGTGGCTGAATCTAGCAAATTAGACAGGTTTGGATACCCTTAAGTATAGCTTGATTGGATAGGATGAAAGGAAAATGGCTTTGTTGGAAAGTAGAGAACCATGTGATGTTGGATGACGGTCAGGCGTAACTTGATGGTATTGTGAAGGCGGCAAAATAAGATCGCGAACATAACCAGAGACATAATAACCGACATTATGTAATGAAGGACCACTTACCTGTGACATGACTAGTAATGGGAAGACTTGGTGACCGCAATTGCTGGGAGACCACTAAGGGCACAACTTGAAATACCTTAAAATCTGGAGGAGTAATACCGTGTCCATTGAAATATTGGAATCTAGAGGAGCAATACCGTGTCCATTAAAATATCGGAATCTGGAGGAGCAATACCGTGTCCATTGAAATATCGGAATCTGGAGGAGCAATACCGTGTCCATTGAAAGATCGGAATCTGGAGGAGTAATACCGTGTCCATTGAAATATCGGAATCTGGAGGAGTAATACCGTGTCCATTGAAATATCGGAATCTGGAGGAGTAATACCGTGTCCATTAAAATATCGGAATCTGGAGGAGCAATACCGTGTCCATTGAAAGATCGGAATCTGGAGGAGTAATACCATGTCCATTGAAAGATCGGAATCTGGAGGAGTAATACCGTGTCCATTGAAATATCGGAATCTGGCAGACACGTGAGCGTTACGAGGGCTAAGGAAATAGTTGTAAACATGTAAGTGACAACCAATATGTACCATGCGACCACTTAAAGAGTAATGCGAGTGAGAGACTAACCAGGTGGCCTGAATATGGAAATACTAGCCTGTTACGTCAAACTTAAACGGATTAGTATTAAGGCATATGGCCAATACTAATAAGGCAGAGACTCTAAAGTAAGTGAATCGTGAACCTGTCACATGTATAAGCCAGACAGATGAACGTAGATAAGTGCTTAATATAGCGAGGGCCAAGTTAACCAACCTAGTTATATAGGTGAACTAATAGAGTAGAAAGGGGTTGAGAAGAGGAAAAGTGTCACTACTGTAGAAAACCTCCTTGGCTCAGGTCCCTAGTATCAGTATCAACAAGAATATACAATATGAAGTATCTACAAGGACCATAACGGTGGACAAGTCAAGCTAACAAGTGTATGAGGAGCCAACCCACAAGCCGTAATTCGTGTAACTGAACCAAAGTAGAACTAACCCATTTGGTTATATGTGTGAACCCTATGTGTGGGTGCAAGTTGAGCTTGACATGACTGTACCAGTCAACACTTAACCATGTAGGGGGCCAAGACCTAAAATAGAAGTCGATATGATCCCGTAAGGGGAATTATACCAGAAGCTGAAGTAGGCCTCACCGTGAAGCTACGTATTACTGAAATACTGACTATGATAGTAGTTCACCCTGAAAGAACAAATTTACAGTTAGTAGCAACCGATTAAAACAGCCATGGCAGGCCATGGTGACTTCTATGAGTATGAGGTAAGGGAGGTAAGGGCCGGCTCAACTTAAAGAAGACATGTGTCATATAATAATGATGTCACAATGTGTCTGATAGATGTAGCGTCACACTTATCTATTTCCTAATCCAACTATTAGTGTAAAACTTTCAGACCGGAAGTCGGATAGCAGGACAGAAAGTCAATATCCCGTTAGATATTTGAACGTACCGGGTCAAGTGTTCAATATTGAATTGAGTTATGATCGTATGCTTACAGAGGACCTTGTGAGGGTCAGCGTGCTGTTGATGTCATGGTTCGACAACGTATTTATAGTCTCGCATATTTATACCTTTGAGGACACGAGAGCTGAGAACGTTGCATGGAGGTTGTTGTTGCTCAAGCAACTCATGCTTACCCCAGCATCAGCATTTCCGTATTGATACATGTGAGCCTGCACAGTTCCGTTTTCTCGGCCTTTACTGAGAAAGGAACGTTGCGTCTGCGTAGTTCCGCCTGAATACGAGGCATGGTCCATGACCTGATGGAACCCGATAGGTGTCACCTTTCCGTGTAGGTGTAGTGAACGAGACTGGAGTACTAGGGATTGACAAGTCATAACCTTTACAGGGTTCGGAAACATACTGCAACATAATAATTAGCTTCAATCAGGATTGTCATACTGGCTGGCTAGCGCCAAGTGGCGAAGCAATTACTAGGTAGGTGACAGGTGAGGCCCTACTAGTTGCCAAGTGGCTTGAGAGGCTCGATCTATGCTTTGGCACAAGGGGATTTGTGGCCACTGAACGTCATGGAGGGGTGTTGGCCTCTCGGTGACATTTAAATTCCGAGAGAGATTGGGTGTGACAAGTGAGGCCCTCTCTATGCCACTGTGCGAGGCGGCTAACTATGATTGGACCGGGGGACGTAATACCTCATACGTGGAGGATGGGTGTTGGCCTCGCGGAACCACTAACTCCAAGGCAGAGATGGCCAACACTTAACATCTATTGGTCACCTAGATCTCTATAAGCCAGCAAAACCTCACTAAAAGGTCTATATTGCAGGGGTGCCATCGTAGCTAAAACATATCTGAATTCGCCTAAGAGTACGTGTAGTTCTGAATGGTATGGTTGTAACAAACTTCAGTATCCCCTAGAGGAGGCAGCACAGGAGAGGTCTATAACCTACTAAAAGAACTGTCACTGACAAATGGGTGCCAGGTCTGAAAAGCAAATGATGCTCTGACCTGAAAGCTGTAAAATATGATATAAGACATAAGGAAATGCATATTGCAAGACATCTTGAGTACCCCCCATGTATAGGCAGATGAAAAGCCCCAAGACCAAATCCACAGTCAGGAACTGTAGTGTTTAGCCATGCCATCCTATTTGGGGAAATCACAAAATATGATTAGACATACCACCTAAATATGTTTGTAGATAAACCATAGATTGTGCAGAAAAGCATGTGTAAGTATAGACAGTGTGGCCCAAGGCATATCACCTATCGTAGGTCATACCTGTCTGTGGCATTGTGATAATCAGATTGAGGAAATATTACAGTTATATAACTTGAAAATTGTGATAAGCGTATACTAGGTGCCTATAATATGGACTACCCAGAACCTAACCAAGACTTATTCTTACTCCAAAAATGTCTCAGTGACGCCTTAGCAGTGAGGGTTAACCATTACAGGGCATATGAATATACGTTGTAACGGCATTACGGTGCCAGGAGTAGGAAATATGCGTATCCTGATTTGTATCAAGGGTGTGTTGGGATTAATGCGGGTGAAGGTAGGATGTGACATGGAGAATGGTTGTGGAGTTTGTGTATGTAACTAAGACATGTTGACGATGAGATGGTAGAGAAACTGATAGTTACGAATAATCATCCAGTTTAATTGTGATAGACCTATGTATTGGGCCCAATGAAATGAGGTGTTGGAAGACAGAATCAAACCGGGAACCGAGGCCTCTAGGTGCCATAATGGCTGAAAAAGGCTAGAGGCCGTGACGGGAGTACATAATACCTAGGGAAAGACCGGAGATATAAGACATACATTAAAAGACCTACACCTGGAATGTGTAGGAGGATGTTAAATACTTATGCATGCACCGCTGGCATAAAAGATTAGGGTTGAAAGCAACAGGAAATGCTAGAAAAAAATAGTAGAATATCTCAGTGTATTAGCTTCAGATATAAACATATCTTAAATGGGCATATCTACTAAACAGTGACTTACCAACAATGCTGGCCCAATGAGTACCTGCCTGACCCGAGGGCTGACAACATTAAACTGTAGAGTGACTAACAGAAATGCCTATGATACGGTTAAGTTTAGAGGTTATTAAGTAAGAAGATTTGAGACCGATATTTGGAAGATATTCCCCCTTTTTCAGAAACTAAGGGATTACAAGAAAATTGGCATATCTGAATGGTTGAACAATACCCACTTACAGTTTGGTTGAAAAACATCAGCTATAGATTCAATCAGCGACCTATATTCATCTACAAACTGGGACAATCATAGGATTTAGAGTAGATTGTAATATTACAAACTGGCCACTAGGGGTTCTGCTTTAATACAACCCAACGCCAAAGTCCTCAGTTAATTGTGAGATACCCTAAGTGTACTTTATAAACAGGAACACATACGTAGCACAGAGGGAAAACCCACAATATCAATAGCAATGTCTTTCTTGCTTATAATGTATTCAGTAATTCGTAACATACATATATGTATATGTATCACATATCTTTGTATGTCCATACGTTTGGACCGTTGTGCCTCTCATTGTCTCAAGATTTAGTATGTATCACTCTATGTGGCCTTGTGTGGCTAAGAGTGATGATCGTGCCACTTCCTGTGAGCGTGCTTGATCCTCCGCCGGCCTGACAGAAAGAGGCAGGCAGAGGATGTATGAGACAGCTCCTAACATACTGAGATAGCTGCAAGTGTCCATGGAGGGAGCCTAACACAGTTTCCCAAGTGGCCGACGGCCAGAAACCAAATCCCTTACCTCTCATTATTAAAATGTGCCATACAACCTTAGCTCAAAATGCGGATAAGTCTATGTTAAAACGGTCAAATGAGAAGCATTTGTGCGCATGCTCCTGAAAGCTTATCGTTCGTGCAATATGATCGTATAAACAAGCTTAATACGGGTAAGTAGCCGAAAGCCCTGCCTTAAATTCTCATTCGTATGGGCACAACAAATACATTAAGATTAACTGCGGCATTTGACAACCCAGAGAGTGTACGAACAGAGGTAAGTAAAACAAAGCCGACCCGAGATGACGCTGTGCGCCAGCGACTGTTGCGATGGTCGGCTTTATGACTTACGTTTCCGTTTCCCCTGCAGACTACGGGTCGCCAGAGGAAGGGACAGGCATCCGAGAGAGCAAGCTGCAACCGGTGAGTAGGGACGATCCTGGGCCACAGGATGCCTGCTGAACAATTCTTCTGGTAGCTGTGGCTGAACTCTTTCTTGGTCTACCTGACCTTGGCTTGTTATCAAGAGATCCCTGAATTTTCCACTTATTAATAAGTGATTGAACAGTACTGACTGGCATTTTCAAGGCTTTGGATATCTTTATAAAGATGGAAAAGGATATAAAAAGTTCAATTACCTTGTTACACAGGTCTTTTCTGCTCCCCATGACTGAGTATCTAACCTGCAAAGTGCATCGACGTGAGCGCTGACAAACTAATTGAGCATTTATACACAGACACTATTTGTAATTTAAAAGGCCAAGGGTGTGGGAAATTAACCTTTAATTGTCATATTAACCTGTGTGTGTAACAAATATGATCACGATCCTTCAATAAAAGACATTTTCTTTTGCTACTACACCATATACGATGCTATACTACACCAGGACATTTTCAATAAAAATAAAATAAAATAAAAAAATGCCAACACTTCACAATTTCTGACAGGGTATTAAATTTTTTTAAACACAA